TTAATAATTGAAACAAACATTGCATGTACAATGTCTTCTAGTTTTTGCTTTATCAAGAAATTACTAGCCCAGCCTCCGAGCACAGAGTGGATGCGTGAGGAGCTGAGCTGTGTGGAGCTGGGCTGCCACCCCACCCCTACAATGGCCTCTGAGTAAGTAGCCTGCAGCACCATCCCCAACACCTAACCTGCTACACTTTGGCCTCCTGGCAATCCTGGTACCTGGACCAACACCACAGAGGGACAGGGAGTCTTAAAGGCCATTGTCCTGAGCTCCAGAAGACAGAGCAGAAGTGAAAAAGGGGAAGAGGGACTCTCTCAAGCTCCTTAATAAAAATTAAAGCCTACTAGAAAAGTGAAGGGAATCTCTGCAATGAAGGCACTCCAGACCATTTTAGTTAGTAAGTCAGAGGGATCACCATCTCCCATCAAAACCTGGACTATTTTCAGGGAAAGGGCAGCTGAAACCTGCAGTAGAACCTTGGAGAATTCAACCCTGAAGGAGGTCAGGGAGCTCAACTTGGGACACACAGCCAGAAATCAGCCTGAAACTCAGGGGTCTGCTGCTGGCTTCCTGAGCCTAATTGATTTAGACCTGCCTACTGCTGCCCATGCCATCTATTGTGACAGCAGATACATACCCTGAAGAAAGCCCTTCATTTTTATTTTTTATTTGTTAAATTACTTTTGTTTCTTATATTTAATTTTTATTTTTTTCTACTCTTTCCAAACTTTTCTTTTTTGTTTCTCTCTTCTTTTTCTCTCTGTCTCACTCTCTCATTCTCCCACATTGTTCTTCATCTTCCCTTTTGTTCCTGCCCTAATTCAGATATATCTTTTCTCTTTTTCCTTCTCTCAATTATCATTAGTTTGAAAGGAAAGTGAATACAGTTTCTAGCCTTCCTATTGGTTCAGTTGTTCTGTTCTTGTCTTTGTTCTTTCATTCTGTCTTTTCCTCTTGTCTTCAACAGTTTCCTAGAGTTTGCATGATCTTCCTGTGTTCTCTGGCCTCACTGCTAATATTTCCCTATACTTCTACCCATTTATCCCTTTCTCCCCAACTCTTTCTAAGGGTAAATTTGGAATATTGAAGAGTTTATTCACTATAAATATATTTTGGCCTGGTCCTCAATTTTGATTTGACTCATGTGGTTAAAGGTGGTAGATTAATAACTACCACACATTGTCATTTTCTAGCCTGTGCTTGATGCTCTCTTGTTGCTAACTGTATCACTTGGGCTAAGGTGTTGTGATTGATCTAATCATTTTTCCTTTCTGGTATAATGAAAATATGATTGACTCAGAGTTATTAGAGACTCAAAACCTAACAACTGGCTATATCTGGAAGACATCTTTGAGAAACAATCATGCCATAAGGGTTCTAAATATAAGCAACAAAGGTACTTACAATAAGCAATATTGAAATATCAACTCAGGAATTAAAACAAGGACAGTACAACAACAAAAGTAAGAATGGCAAGATATTTAAGCAAGGCACAAACCCACACTTCCAGCTCAGCAAAGGCAAATTCTGGGGGGAAGTGAGGTGAAAAAGTCTGATAATCAACCACCTATTCATCTTGAATTGATAGCACAGGAAGTAATGAAACAGATGAAGGAGGCTCTAGAAAAATTCAAAACAGAAAAAATATCCTAGATAAATACAGAGATGGTGAGCAGAGTGAAAGGCATGACCAGAGACTCTAGAATAGAAAGAGATAAAAAATAGATGAGTTCAGAACCATGATGGAAGCCATGAATACCCAGAACACAAAAGAAATGGAAACCATGAATGCCCAACATAGGAAAGAAATGGAATCCATGAAACAGATTCAAACAAATATCCAGGAGATTAAAAACTCTATTGAAAGTATACACAGCAGACTGAGCCAATCTGAAAACAGAATATCAGATATAGAAGACAGCATGGTGGTCAGTGACCATGAAAAGGCAGATCTCTTAAAAACAGTAAGGGACCCTGAGAAATCAATCCAACAGTTCCTGGATGATGCAATGAAGAATAATATGAAACTAATAGAATTCCAGGAAAAAGCAGGAGAAAGTACAAATTACATAAAAAATATTGTTTACAGAATTAATGACAGAAAACTTCCCAAAATGAGCAAAACAACTTGACATACAAATAAGTGAGGCATAGAGGATTCCAACTAACCATGATAAAAAACCCCTACACATAGACACAGAATGATCAAGATCCCAGAAACCCAACAGAAGAACTAAATAGTACGAACAATTAAGCAAAGAAACAAATCACATGCAAAGGAAAGCCCAGTAGAATCACAACACACTTTTCAAAACAAACCCCCAAATCAAGGAGAGCCTGGAGTGAGGTATTCCAAGCCCTAAAAGTAAACAACCTCCAACCAAGACTGACGTATCCGGCAAAACTATCTTTCAAATTTGATGGAAGCATAAGATAGTTCCATGACAAAGATACCTGAGAAAATTCATGAATAGCAAACCAGCACTCCAAACAATTCTAAAAAATATCCTAGAAAAAGACAATGAAGGTCACAGCTCCATGAGGCCCAACAGAGCAAATCCATCAGGCAAGGCAGGAAATCAAAGGGTGAGGGGGAAAATAAAAAAGAACCAACAACAGGAAAATAACACGACAATGATAAGTCAATACATATCAGTTATAACCATCAATGTTGGTGGCCTCACTTCACCAATCAAAAGAAACAGACTGGTGGAATGGTTTAAGAAGCAAAATCCAAATATGCTGTATATAAGAAAAGCACCTAGTTCAAGAAGAAACTCATAGACTGAAAGTAAAATGATGGAAAACAGTTCTCCATGGAATAGGAACCTGGAAAAAAGCAGAGGTCTATCTTACCACAGACAAAGTAAATTTCAAACCAAAATTAATTAAAAGTGACAAAAATGGTCACTACATCCTTGTAAAGGGAACAATTCAAGAGGAAGAGACAACAATCATAAATATATATGCACTAAATACTAATGTCTCCATTTATATAAAACAAATATTAAGGGATATGAAAAACCAAATAACCCCTAATACAATTGCAGTGGGGGAACTCAATACACTAGTGTCAGAAATAGATCATGAAGACAAAAAAATCAACAATGAAATTCTAGAACTGAACCAAGCTTTATTTTTTTTTTGTTAAATTCTTTTATTGGTACATTTTAGGTATGCAACACAATTACATTTCTCATTGGGAACTGTACCTTTACATAATTCATCTTGGTTCTTAATTTTTCCCCATTCCTAGCCCTCCCTTCACCCCCTCCACCCTTCCTTATTTACAAAGACTTTATTTCCATTTTTTCCATTTCTCAGCATTTTCCCTTTCCCTTCTTTCCTTTCCCATGCCCTTCCCACTACCCCACCCCTTTGGACCTTTTCTTCCTATTTTGCATTATCAATTATTCATTCTAATCATTGGTTCATTGTAGGTATACAATATAATGACATTCATCATTGGAAATTTGCACC